TTTTTTCAAGAGTAGGCTTAAAACTTTCCCCTGAAAAATCCTTTTTTATGATGCTATAGGCCCTTCTTTTGTGGGACCTCCCACAGTGCACCTATCATCTTGGCTTTGCTCTCTTCTCGTTCAATGTAAATTAATTTGATTGACGACTATTGCAGGTCATTCCCTTTGGATAGTTTTTGCATTGTCCCCTCTCTTTCCAGAGCCTGTGCGTCTGGTTCTGGAGCTGTGTGTTCCTGATCTTTTGTTTACTGGCACCACCAATCTGCTCAGTGTTTATTGTTTTTCAGCGCTCATCCTTTCTCTCTCCGCTCACCCCAAATGGTCAAGACAGCCGGCCGCCCAGCCTGAATTTAGTTATGACTGAAGTTTCTTACTGCCCACTGTTTGCCAAGTGCTTGCTGGGTGGTGATGTGTTGGGTTTCTCTTTATAATACTGCATATAAATCTGCTGACCTTAATTTGTAAACTTTCCTCAGATTATACTTTTATGATTTGCCAAAGAACTGATAACAAAGAAAGTGAAATGACTGTGAAAGATGGGAATATCTACACTCCTTCCCTGTGCCACGTAAACACAAGTCTGGAATTTTTAGATATTTCTCTGTAAATAAACCCCTACTTTACTTACTGATCTACTCTGCACAAGACATCGCTGTGCTGCGAAGACACAGCAGTCTCGGGTGACAACTCTCTAATCTAAACTGATTACAGTGGTGATGGCAGCGTTCTCCACAGTGTGCCAGTTTCAGCACATCCCCCACGCACTTACGGCCTAACCTCCTTCCTCCCTCCCTCGCTTATCATCACAGCTGATTGCACTGCTGAAGTTCAAATGAACTGTTAACCCTGTCTTTACCAGGTCCATAAATAGAAAGCACAGAACTGAATCCAGGCAGTGATGAAACAGTGCGGCGATTTGCTTGCTGCTTCGCTGGAGAGACGGCTAATGTGTCCAAAGCCATCTCAATATTGGTTTAGCAAATTCACAGTGGTCCCAAAATCAAAATTCCTGGAATATACCGATTGGGTTATTCTGAAATGTGTTTGAATACAATAAAGATATAAGCCTGGACCACTTATTGAGGAATTTTGCAGTAAGGTTTCGCTTATTTAGTGTTAAAATGTGAGCTAATCTTTAACAAAGGTCATGAACCCAGCATGAAGCATGAACCCATTACTTTCTGATTATCCTACACTGGGTTGCTCATTTGTTTCAGAACTGATAAAACGATTTGATTGTCCGTTGGACTATTGAAGACTGGAAGATGGTATTAAGGACTGATGAATCAAAATGTGAAATCTTTGGGTCGTCATGCAGGATCTTTGTATGCTGTCGGGTAGGAGAAAGGATGTGTGTTGCATCAACTGTCAAACATGGAGAATGACGTGTGATGGCCTGGGGCTCTTTTGCTGGATCCAGGGTCAGTCACTTGTACGAAGTGAGAGGCACCCTGAACCAAAACTGCTACCATATCATTTTGCAGCACCATGCAATGCCCTGTGGTATGCACCTAGTTGGTTATGGGTTCATCCCACAGCAAGATAATGACCCAAAACATAAGTCCAAGCTACAACACAACTACCTCAGGAAAAAAGAACAAGATGGTCCTCACCAAGATAGCTGAACGGGTGTGTGCGTGTATACACACACACACACACACACATTATGAAAAACTACTATTTATATGGTATGTAACACAAAGTCAGTGATTCTTTGGTGTTACAACCTGAATCAGCTTAGTGCGACTAAATGAAAGAAAGAAAATAACAAAATAGCATACAGTAGAAAAATGAAATATGTTTAATGCAAACAGACCAAAGGCCAATATCTGATCTTATCAATTTTTGAACTTTTAGACACATCCCTATAAATTATCTCCAATAAATTATTAGCAGCTGTTTCTGCTGGGAACAAGACTCTTTATTAAAATATATATATATATATATATATATATCAAAAACTACATAACTCTCACCCCCCCCCTCCAGAAATCTCTTGTTTGTTTTTTTAATTTAGTTTATTGACAGCAGATTAGTTCTTAAGTCTACATGTCCTTGCATAACATTCTGACACAGAAAACTGAAGCTGTGTTGCTTACACGTTTTCGCTGCAAATTCTGGTTTAGTGTTTGTTACAACACTGTACCACACAATTTTATACCAAAGCATATAAAACAGTAGCAGAAAATAAACAAAACAATGCTCCTGTGAAATTTCAGAGCAATAATGTGCTAATGAAATTATACGGCAGCCCACAAACCCGAGAGAAACAGTCATTTTCAGTGTCAGTGTGAGCTCCACTGCAGAATACTGCAAATCTATCTCCTGTTAAGACATCCAAATATGACAACAGGGCTGAGCAGTGTGAAATAACATGGGAAAACATTACTGTGGTTAGGTATGACGAAGTTTTTTTTTTTTTTTGGGGGGGGGGGGAGGCTAAGTGGAAGTCCAGCAGATTCACACAGTCCCATTTACCTGCCAGGAATTTTAATTTGGAGAGTAAAAACCAGTGCATCAAAAATAAAATGATAAACACAAAAGACTTTTTTTGTTTATACATTGCTCATCTTGAATCACTGAAAGAAATATTAATTGCACACTCCTGCATATAGTACTATAATGTGAGCTGAAAGACTACAAATACTTTAAACACTTGTAACACCTGAGAGATTACAAAAGAGATCAGTAGCGATCATGATGTGGTCTCTGATGGGAGACGTATCCCTGGTTGGAGCTTGGCCGCCCTGAATAAGACCCACTTCCATGACCCCAGTGCCGGTCTCTGTCTCGGTCTCGCTCTCCGTCTCGGTTTCTGTCGTGCCAATGTTGCTGTCCACGATCATCTCGTCTCCAACCGCGGTCTCCTCCCCATCCACGTCCTCTGTGACCACGGTCATGGTACCTTGATGATGACATAAAATTAACAAACAACAGGCAGTGATTGATAGACATTAGCTTAAGTTGTCCTCATAAACTACTATGGTATTGTGAGTCGTGCTTACTGGGTTTCTCTAATCTCTCATCACAATTTAAAAATAGATTTCTCATTTACAAGAAGGTAAAAATACCAGGAAACTCCTCCAGAAACTTCTGTGTTAATGCTGGGATTTCAGTTTTATGAAGGCAGTTCACTTCTTACTGGGGTACATCGCCATGGCAACTTATTCTACCAACCTAACCTGCAGGCTATGCTCCAGATTAGATATTAACAGGTCCAAAATTACCACCTATGGATTAATCGGTTCTCTGGAAAATAGCGTCAACATTCCTGGAAGATCCCTCTGACCTCTGTGGGCAGACTGTATTGGGGCCAAGTTTTCTTAAGAGCATAAAACACAGATTTTGAGATCTAGCCTTATTCCTTGATTTTTGTGTGTGCCATTTTCTACAAATATTGGAGAATTTCAGTACACAATTATTAATGGGGTCACACAACACATTTATGAACCTTACATCAAATTTGCTCACAGACAAAGCTTGCATCTGAATTACAAACGAAACTAAAACCATCTTACAGACACTACATTAATTTCATTGCATAACAATTGTAATCCATCAGATGTATTCTTTACAGCAGACTTATAATTTACAGAGCCCTCATTTTCATCAGCATTCTTTTGTGGCTCCTGGAGGAGTTTAAACAGATATGCCCAGACCTCCCTTTTTTTAAGTCACCTCCTCTAGCCCTTGTGCTGCGACACCAAGGTGTTCCCAAGCCAGCTGAGAGACAAAGTCTTGAAATGACTAAAGAAATTACTTGTCCTGGGTTGGCCCTGGAAACTCCTCTGTAGGACATGCTCTAAACACCTCACCTAGGAGGGAAACTAGTCAGATGGTTGAATCACCATAACTGGCTCCTTTTGATATGTGTGAAAGTAGCGGCTTTATTCTGTGCACCACCTGAATGATCGAGCTTTCATCCTCTCTCTCAGGATGGAGGAAGTTCTTTTTCACCACTCCACAAATCACCACCTTATAACAGGGGAGGAGTTTGTGTGCTGTCTCAAGTAATTTGCTCCAAGTTGCAAACTGGTCCTGGGTGAAGGGCAGAATAAATGAGTCTGTGTTGGTTCACAGTCACACAGATCATTGGAGTCCTGTGTGGTTGGTTGGTTGGGGGGGCTTGCGTCTGGGTAGATGCTGCCAGTGCCATGCCTTTCAAAATATATCAGCGGTATCTCGAACGTACTTCATAGTACACTGTCCAGATCAATGGTATAGTGGAATACTGATCTTTAAGGACAGTTTCACCCCTCTGACTATCTTGCTGTCATTTTTCAGTGGAAAACTGCCTTACTTAACGAGAAGTCTTTTGCATTCTTCTTTACTGGTTCAGAGCATCTAAACAGAATCTCTCATTCCTTATCCCAGCTACACGATGGTTAGGGGAATTCTCCTTAATATTTTCTAACGCTTATCACCTACATTACAGCGGTGTTTCTATCATTATCGCTTCTCTCAATCGTTAGCAGTTTCGCAATGACAAAATGAAATCAATAAGCAGCCCTACCGGTTATCTCTGCCTCTCTGGTTTCCTCCCCCACGACTCCTCCAGTCCTCCACGATGGGAGGGCGGTCTGCAGGACGGTTTAAGTACTCCTGGTACTCCGGATCCTCCGAGGAGAACCTGTGTGCGAACATCTCCTCGTAGTTCTGCTGGGTTTCCGCAGTTTCGGTCATTCTGTGAGCACACAAATTATTGAAATACTTAATATCACAGAAAAGCTGGTATCGCGGCGTCGTGTTTGTATTCCCTCTTGGTCTTGTTAAACCGCGTGTTCCCAATAAGATAACTATTCTGGACAGTAATAGTAGTTATCCAACATATAAACAACGAAAAATAAAACTAGATTAAAAACAGTTACATCTCTGGCTTTGAAAAAATACCTTAATGTGACAAGTACGTCGTTAGCTTTGGCGACACTTTCCACTTCTGAAATTTCAGTGTCGTACGTCGCTGAAATCCTTCCCCCCCGGAACAAACCTCTACAAATTTTAACGGTTCTGGGAGCGCGCGCACCTGCCAGAGATGAATGAACGTTACCTGGCAGTTAGGGGATAGAAGAAAAAAAGTCCAACAACCATTATGAAAAGATTCAAGACCTATTAATTGACACAATTACATGCTAATAAGTGGCGTAGCGAAGTTTGCTTTAACAGTTATTCTGCTTAATTTGGGAGAAAGGGCAAACTGGTGGAAGCCAGCACAGTGAATGGAAACATGTAAGTGCATCAGATTTTTATTTTTTATTTAAAAAACCGTCGGGTTTAACTGAAAATTATTTTATTATTTTTTTGTTTATGACTAAAAAACTCCAGTCTGGCCTGAAAGTCCATTTAAAACCGCAGACGCCACCACAGATATGACAGGTTTAGGAAACAGTGGGTGGCTGAAAGGAGAAAGCAGGTGGAAGCCGCCCCGTGTCGCTGCTGCTGCCGTTGATATGAAACAGCCCGTTGTGGAGGAAGAAGCTCAGCGTAGAGCAGCGAAATGCAAACATTAACTTAACTCACCAGCGCCGATTGTTTGAAGGCGGCGAGGGAGAAGCCACGCCAAGGTGGGATTCACACCCGCCCATGTGAACAGGAAAAACAAAGGAGGAGAGGAGGAAAAAACTTCCTGAATTGAACGGGCTTCTGTGAGACTGAGCTTGACAGCCCGGTGAGTCGAGTTTGCGAAGAACTGCTCTCTCTCTCCCCCATATCTCAGCTGTCTCTCAGCGGCAAGAGGACTTGTTCGGAGCTGGCACACGGGGTTATGAACTCTTTGGACCGCTAATCATCTACGGACTGCGCTTTTGAAACATTATTTTTCCTCTCAACCCAGCCAATACATAACCTTCAGATTAAAGAAAAAAATAAGGAGTTGTTCCTCAAGTCCGCGGCAATGGGGTGAGTAATCCAGAAAGCGCTGCCCTTCAGAGCGCCTCTCATGACACCTGCGCTGACTAAAAATGTGTTTGTGCGGCGAAAAGACGGCAAATATGCCCCTAGAGCTGCCCGTTTCACCTGTCAGCCCTCAAATACATTTAATTCTAAATATCGCTGATTTCAAGCGCCAGGTTGTGAGAAGATCACCTCTGTTTTATTGCCAGATTGTGTTGCAATGTGTGGAAATTAATGAGGTGACTCTTGTTGGACTGTCAGTGAGACTATTCAGATGTGTGTATATGTGTGTGTGCGGTGGGGGGTTGATGCCATATTTATAATTATGGATTTATGTTTTATTTATGAGCAGAATTTCAAAAGGATCATTCTTGAGTGCTCCGCTTCTTCCTTTTCTTCAGGATAGGAATATGGTTTGGAGAGGGTTATGATATGGAGGTGTCAGAGTCAACACTGCCCACTAATGAGGAGAGATGGTGGTACTTGTGGAAGTGTGTATTTGTACGTATGTGTGTTGTCCACAGTACTGGAAGTAGTGGCGTGTACTCCCACAGTAGTTTTACATGGTACCGTACAGTATTTTGCCTCTATACTGTGGTATGAATGTTAATTCTGTGGCTCACTGCCACAGTTATGCAATCACCATCTCTCCCTCTTTCTGCACATCTACATATATCCCTGTCTATGCTTTCCAAGCAGCTGGATTGTATTTAATTTCACACAAAAAAGGGAAAACTTTTCAGACTTAAACCTCATTCTAGATCACTTATTTATTCATTTATTTATTTTAGGAATTCTTCCACTTGTAACACACAAAACTTGGATTTATGGAAACTATGATGTGAGGCGTGAATCACTAGCTGCATAAATGCTCAATTATGTAATGAGTACCACCCCATACCAAAGTGATTGCTTTTCCTCAGTATTTTAATGCGTAAGAAACCAGTTCAACAGTCCTGACTTCCTTTCGCCAGTTTGGTGTACTCACCCAGCCGGTTTCAAAGGACTCAGCTGTGTTGTGTCATGAAACTGACCCATGCAGTGGATCTGTGACAAGCATGGCAGCCAGGCCAAAGCAGGAGTTCCCACCTACTCACAGGCACAAAAGTTCCCTTTTTCTTTTCTATGTTCACTCAGTGCTAAGCAGTGGTGTCACTTGTCAGCTAAATACCTTTTTAAGAAGGAGGGCACAAATGGCTTCTATGAAATTTTATCCCACAGGACTTCCTTGAAGCTACATTGGCTGCCTTTGTCATTCCAATTAGTTTCGGGGTAATCAAATGTTGCTTGTATTAAAAAAAAAAAAAAAAATCTTAAAATTCCTTTTTGCAATACCTGAGCAGCAGTGAAAAATCAAAACTATGGAAGGCTGATAAATCCAATCTCCTACACTTGATTCAGTATTGTTGCTTTGATGCATTTGAATCAGCAGCTATTACAGCAGTGATTGAATCAGCATGTTGTGACTGTGTTAGATCGTCTGACCAGGAGTCCAAATCACAACTAATGAAATTTACTCTCATAGAAGGCAAACAAAATATTTAATAATAATAGTAATAGCGAATCAAATGTGAGAACTGAAACTGGAAACTTTCTCCTTAAGAAATAACTTAATGAATGTTGCTCATTACGCTGCAACTGAATGATGGAGATTACTGATGAATCTGCAGTTTTCTTGTGTGTTTGTGTAAAACAAGACCCAAAAAACAATGCCTATCACATCTTAAACCTTGAAGTAACTGGACTAAATTAAAGAAAGGGGAGGGGAATTCTTTTGTTCGCCTTCCAATAATTAGCAGATGTGTTGCTAATTCTGCAGTGTATATATTACTACCTGAGCACACCTGCTAATGATGCAATGTGTTTTGCACGAAGCAGCAAATCAACAGATAAGAATGAGTCTGTGTTTGGTGGAGGGAGCTGTAGATCATTTGTCGTGTGTGTGTGTGTGTGTGTCTTTGTCCCTGAAGCTCCTGTCTCCTAAATGAAGTTATAGATTAACTATAAGTCAGACAACACACACATTAACACCCTCGATTTCTATCTTTACGTGTCCCTTTATTACCATATTTCTTTGAGCAAATGATCTATCAGTACCCTCTTGACCCTGAGACACTTTTTGTTGTTCATGCCATTTCCACACGATTTATTGAGTATATACTGTTACATATTGGTCCAAATTGTAGCATTGTATGTGTGCATGTGTATGTGTACGTCATGTGCGGCATGTCCTAAAAAAGAATAAATCAAGCCTATGTAATTAAAGACTGGTGAATTGGAGAGGGGGAGGAAATTCAGACGGTAGCACTGGGAAAGAAAGCGATGAGAATTCTGTTTCTAAGTACAGTTTTGCAGCTTAAGGGCTGCATCTCTGGAATTATTCCAACATAAAGCCTAGATTGCCTTAAAGCCCCTACTGAATAGGCAGCCACACAGACAGCAATGCAATCAGCATATTGCTATTTAAAGTAAGCCATGCTGGGAGCAGGCCTAACACAGGGATAGATGATAATCTCCTGGCTGGCCAGAGAATGGCATATAAAGGTTTAACACTCATTGATTAGGCTCTGTGACATGTGACGTGACAGTGGGTCCTTTGGCTGCCCTGACAGGAGAGTGGACTGTAAGCTTAATCTGAGGCTATTTTCTCCATCTGTGTCCGAAGGCTGGAGGGGATGGCTGTAGAGGTGCAGTTGGGGAATAGGAGCAGGTCTTACTGTTAAAGAATCATGTGTAAATGAAAGGGGACAGGCTGATGGTGGATTGGACGTCTCATCACCAGATGGTTGAAGCCTAGGAGGCCATCTGCTGCCATGCTGTTCTTCTGTGGAGACTTCCTCACTTCCTTTTCCTTGGAGCGCTCACATTACGTTGGGCTCTGTGTCCTGTCGCCTCAGTGTGGTGGAGGGAGACCTGCTGTGGTGGCTTGTTTGATTCTGGCCTGCTGCCTGTGTTGCATGGGACACTCAGTGATGCCAGACCTGGCATTGATTATGAAGGTCATTGGTAAAATGAATAAAACAAAGTTTACCACAGTCATGCCTAAGACAGAATGTTTTCTACAAAATTAAAATATCCTGCATTAAAGCAATATGTAAAGATTATTTTACTATTTTTCCAGCTGTTTTTCCAATTTGCCAAAATGAGAAACAGCCCGATTACTAAAGTTATAATGTTTCGGCCCTCAGAGCCTGATCATGATCTGTGGAAGGAGTGGGACAAAATATTAACAAGTGTTTTATCTTGAGATCATCAATCGTCGATAGCATGGAGCCAATTATAGATACTTCTATTGAATATGTAGGTGGACTAAACTGATTTCCCTGACAAAGGTGGACTGTGTATTAAAGCAAGAGAGCTACCGTAATTAACTGGTTTTAATGCTAGTAAACAAACCAAGTAGCATAACAGCAGCATTTACTACTCTTCAGTTGCACAAATGTCTTGATGTATGTTTGGATAATTGCCTCGCGACGCATCAAACGTTGTATGCCTAATTGTGGATGCCGTATTGCAGTACTGAGTTACAATAGGCACGGGAGTTAAATAGTATCTCTCATGTATATCAAATTTTTACTATAGCTTTATAGAGATTGGAAATTCTGGTAATACGGGAATTTTTTTTTTAGTAAAATAGAAATGCTTGTAATTAGTCAGTTTATGAGCAGTAGTGTTGAATTTGGGCTTATTTTGCTCTTCCCTCCTAACGGTTGTTTCTTCCTGCACTGGATAGTGTAGTGCAGAAGAGATGCCATAAAATAACCTTTAACAGTGACTTAATGCGAGTGGTTTTAAGCTGAGACATCATGCTCCTGTTTTGTAAATGTCAGGAGAAAGAAAATGAAAGCATAATATAGAGCTGTAGTTCTCTGCTAACTAGACCTTGAAGTCTGTTATTGCATACAGTATATATATATATACAGTGGCCTCCTTTGACCTGTTGACATCATTAGTTGAGCAAAGTGTTTGTTGCAGGGAAAGCCCAGGTGGTTTAGTAGTAATGAACCCAGAGAGAATTTCCTCCGCTGCTTACTTTGCTCATTCACACAGACAACACGCCGTTCTCGCTAATAAGGCGGCGCCGCTCTCCATCAGGACCCGCAGATAAAATATAACACCATGCCTCAGCGGTGCTCACCTAACATGCAAAAAAAGGATAATGAGAATCCAAGTTGATGATTTCTAGTGTTTTATGCTTAGCAAATTAATACACTCATTTCTAATTTTCCATATTCATGTTGCCACATTTGAACAGTACACCTTGTGACACAGTTTTTTTTTTCATATGGGAAAAGATGTCCTTTTGTTACTGTGCTACACTCTAAAGCCTCTTGTAA